ACAGCTATGATGATTGGCTCGAGTTTTCCATGATAGCATAATCTAACAGTAATGGGTATTAAACCCCTGAACTTTGGGTGACTTGCACAAAACCTCCTGAACTTTGTAGATTCCACAAAACCCCCTGAGCTTTGGCGAATTTCACAAAACTCCCTCGAACTTTGGGACTCTGCCATTACTGGAGTTGAAAGTTAAGACGACATGCCTAAAACACCTTACTAAAAATCAGAGGGGATGCAAAGCAAGGGTTTTGTGGAACTTAAAAAGCCAATGTGAATCTTATGCAACACACCACCCAAAGTTGTATTTTGTTAAATTTACCCTAAGAACAATATGATGAGCATACTGACTGGAGCTAATTGAACTGTGTAAGCTGAAGACAAGCATTCTTGATATAGACATCAAATAAAAATAGATCTACTGAAAACATATTCTTTGTGAAAGGCATCGAATTTCTTCTAATAACATCAAAACCTGGACTCATGGAATGTGTACATTGAACAATGAAATTCTAAACATAACCACAAATTTTTATTTCAAAATACTCAAATGATTATGCTCCCATATCAAATTAAATAAACAAACGTAAAGAATTATATGATTATACTCGAAACCCTAAGTTTTCCAACTGCAAATACGCAATCGAACAATAAATTACCAAGAAATTCGCAAATCACTCCATCGATTAGAAAGAAAACTAAGAAAGTAACACCTAAAAATCTAAAATAAAAAAAAATCTAGAGAGAGAGAGAGAGAAAAACGAGAGATTTGTGGAGAGAGAAACCGAGCGAACCTGAAAGCGCGGATCTTGGGAGCTCCAATTTCTCCTCGACAAGAGAGGATCTGTTAGAATTTACGTGCGCGATGCATTTTTAGAAGAGGGGCAGCCGTGACGTGTCGTTAATCAATCTGAACCGTTGATCACTGAACTGACGGTTGTCAAAGGAATTGGCATCTCTAGTCCTTTTTAATGGGCTCAACTTCGAAGTTTACAACAGGGTTAATTACATAAACTCCCTGAACTTTCAGAAATTACTAGACATATAATAACTCCCTTTTAACTTTTCTATTCCAGTTGAATCTTACCTCAAAATTTCTCATTTTATTTTAACCTTATATTAGCACTCTCAACTCTCACATGCCATGGGGCAAACACGTACGCTTTTACTAAAAAGGAAACATAGATGACCTTTTGACACCGTGAGATTATTTTCATATTTTTCTTAGCGTTTGCTTATCGCACGAGATGTTAGAACCGATGGTGCTATTTGAAGATTAGATGAGAAATCTCATGTGAAATTTAGTGGAACGAAAGATGTTTAGGAGGTTATGTACGATTACCCCTAAAGTTTAGGGGTTTTAGTGGAATAAAAAAAGTTTATCGGGATTTAGTGCAACTCCCCCCAAATTTTAGGGTGTTTTCTGCAATTAACCCTTTAGAATTCGTCTTCTTGGCCGGATTGGTTTTTAATCTCGAGAGAGAGGGAGAGAGAGGAGAGATGGCAGAGAACAGAATGAGAAATCAAGGAATCTTGCTGAAGTGCTGAGGAAGCTTTTTCCCCCTTTGTTTTTCACTCTCAGTCTCAGAGAATGATGGAGATTTATTATTCTTATAGCTTAATTTTCTATTTCATTTCTCATTTATGGTGTGCAAATAATTTTCCTCCAGCCTAAGTTTATATGAAGGGTTAGGTACCACAATATGAGTCTGAGCATTGCAGGATGAGCATTGAGCACCCAACTCGTTCATTATAGTAGGGATGGATATAGCTTAGGTTGCATATTCCAAATAAAGCAAATATCAAAAAGGAACTCATGAAATTAAAAAAAAAAATCGATTTATCTTTTGTTCCACGCGAGGCCAAGAGCATACTCTCAATAAATATTTGTTTCAATTTGATAGTTTACCTATTGTTTAAGCATAGAAAATTCAAGAGGGCCATGTTCATTCTTATCATTTCCTTCATTTTAGCTCACTAGAGGCTTATGGATTCTCTTTGAGCATGGTGGTCTATATTGAAGTTAAGGGTGTGTTTGGCAAATCTCCACTAACCTAGTTAAGATCTTAACTAGGTTAATTTTGATCCAACTAGGTGGATGCTTCAGTTCTTACCCGATTAAGGGCCTAAATTTGAACTAAGAAAACTAAGTTTGGAGTTGCTCAAATTTTACTCAAACAACACTTGAACATGTTAACTAGATTAGCTTCATTAACTTGGATAGTGAGGGCGTTGCTAAATATACCTTAAGTTTGGATTAAATTACGAGATTGGTATTTAAAATAGATATCATTTACCACTCTGATATTTAAAAATGCTCCGGCGCCTTTTTGGTATTTATAGTGTGTAAAAATGGCAATTAGGTACAAAAACTTATCGCCGTTCATTTTTTCCAGCGAGAACCGTTGGAAAAATTTCTTCCACCCTTTAACTTCTTAAATTTATTGTATTTTACACCATTCTTCTCATTCAACTTCCCCAGACGCAAATTTATTCTACCTCTTTACCCAATAAGACCCTCTTTCACTCTCCTTTACTCTCTCATCAATGGAGCCCCTCCTCCTCCTTCAACCTATCCCAATCCAAAATCCAAAATTCAAAATCCAAACCATAATCCAAACAACGGGTTAATCATTTGGGTTTGAGTTTGAATAGTGGGAGGTTGAAGGAGGAGAAGGGGCTCTATTGATGAAGAAAGAGAGCGTGAAGTAGAGTCTTATTGGGTGAAAAGTTAGAAGAAAATTGAGTTTGGGGAATTAAAAGAGAAAATGGTAAAATATGATAAATTTAAGAGGTCAAGGGGATGAAAGAAATTTTCCAAACAGTTTTTACCTGAAAAAATGAACGTCAACAAGTTTTTGTACCTACTTGCCACTTTTACTTACTTTAAATATCAAAAAGACACCAGAGAATTTTTAAATACCAAAGTGGTAAATAGCGTCTGTTCTAGGTACCAATTTGGTAATTTTTCCCTTAAGTTTGTTTTCAATTAAATAGACTTTATGGTCCTTGTTTGAGGTCAATGGATTTGGATACATGTTCACCGCGCTTGAGTTTTGAATTTCAATAGAACTAGGTTGATTGCACGTGTAATGCACGTGGTTTTTTTCTAAATTTATAATTTTATTTATATAGTTTTGTTATTAAATTATGGAATGTAAGTAATGGATTAAGAACTTAAATTTTATTTACATGAGAGTAAATTATGACTACATAAAACATAGAATATCTAAGTAAAATAACTGACAAAATATCTTTGCATCTGATTGCACTTTTAGTGTAAGTTTGCATTAATATATCATTTGATAATATCTTGCAAAGTTACTTGCAAAATAGAATATCTTTTAGTGTAAGTTTGCATTAATATATCATTTTATAATATCTTGCAAAGTTACTTGCAAAATAGAATATCTTATTGCTATTGCAATTGAATGTCAATCTCATATTTGAAATTATTATATATGAAGTAAATATGAAATTTTCTATATGTTGTAATGAACATTTCCAACAAGGGGAAAAACAGTGGGAAAAATTGTTCAATGCAAATTATTGAAGCTTTTTTTTTTCACAATCATCCAACATATGCAAACAAATTTCTATAAGACAAATAAATTTTTCTCTCATTCTTATTCAGTTGCATTAGATGCAGGGTGCAATTTTCACATCAATACTACAACAAAGTTGTTTTAGGGCGTGAAATCCTTGGTCATCGAGAGATGCTGCAGCCAATCATTCAGATAATTCTACCTCTGAGGCATTGTGAAATTATGATATTTTGTTGTAGATAAAATGGCCTCCACATTCCCAGGTTGAGAGGTGGCTTCCAGCCGCTGGAAGATGAACGTACATCACAATCATGCCCCAACAGTTTACCATTCCTTGGTTAAAATTAGCATAATATGGTCAATTAAGTAATGAACAGTCATTTGAAACCATGATGGAAGGACGGGGGAATATTTAAATGTAGTAATGATATAAGAATACATTATAGGATATTAGTCTAATATCTACTATTATATATAACCATTGAGGATATGCAGATAGACATCAATAGCCAACAATAACTCCATTCAAGCCTTATGTACAATAATTACTTGTTTCATCACTATTATATATAACCAATGAGGATATGCAGATAGGTATATGTTGGGAATTCATCATGTACTTGAACTCCATATTTAAACCTAGAAACATAGATAGTTAAATCTCTTGACACGGATAGTTAAATCTCTTGCTTATCCCTTCAAGTAATATATATAGTTGTGAAGTTCAACATTATGGATCCAGTAATCCTCTAACCTGACATTTTAACTTGACAACTGTGATATATGCTCCTGTAAATCTTATAATATTCTTAATTGCAATGACTTAATGCAATAATCATAGTAGTGGTAGATATACATATAGAAAGAGTCTTTAAATAAAACAGCAAACATTTTACATATACAGATAAAAAAGATCAAATCTACTGTAATTACTTTTAACAAAAGTATGAAAATTAAGTTTCAAGATACATGTTAGACTTTTGCATAATTACAACTACATAATATGATTAAACATTTATGGACAAAATAATGACTTATCTTAATATCTATGAATGATACAAATAACAATCAGGAAGATTCCAATTCAACATTTATAGACAAAGAAAAGAGAGTCATAATCCAATATTTATGGACAATATAACAACTTAATTCAACACGAAAAGCTTCACATAATATGAATTTACTAATAAACTTACAATGATGACCGCCTCTTGGACATTGAGATCCTTGATCAGTATTTTGAAGACATTATATTGCACTGCAAAATAGATACATAGTAAGGTAATTAGTTTATATCAAATGATAAAATGGGTTAGGCGGAAGATGAAGTTGAGTAGATTAATTTATCATATTATCTCTGTCATTTCTCCTCACTATTTTTCTTTCATAATTCGAGAGCTCGCTGTCCCAATCTGATCCCCTTCCATCTTCAGATCCAAGGAAACCTTAATTCAGAGGAATAATCAGTTACAGGTACGCTTTTTCCTCCAAATTCGTCAGCCAATCTCCAAATTCGAACTTTAAAATAATCAGTTACAGGTACTCTTTTTCCTCAAAATTCGTCATCCAATCTCTTGTGAGGTCAAAATAGGTAACTAAATATGTATGCAATGAACACAATATTAGTTTATTTAAATCACGTGGAAAATCTCCTAGTGAAAAACTAATTTTCTTCTCGCTCTTTCCATTCATTCATTCTGTCATTTCCTTTTAGTTTCCAACTAATGTAATGAGGATACTAAAAAAGTCTTAATATGTAATTTCTTCCGATACTGCCCTCACAAGAGAGCTCTTATGACTAACATAGTAACATGTAACTTTTAAATTTGCCTGCAAATTTAATGATTTACCTGGCCAGCTTCTATCTTTGTTTGGAATTTCCTGGCAGATATACCGGACATTGTAAATATAGACGCTCCATTACTATACCTAACGTAGCAATAAAACATGTGACTTCAATGTTAGAGCTAAGATAAATTGTAGTCAGATTCCAAGTTCCTCTTCTAAGCAAAATAAGTACCTATTGTTGTTAACAATATGGATAGCCTCTTCTAGACTTTCAGCCTGATGATATACATTGTCAGTCAGAAAGAAGATGAACAAAAGGGAAGAAACGCAACAGGCAAAATAGGCATACCTGCATGCAGAGGAGAACTGGACCACAAATTTCCTCCTGTTACAGCTACGCTTTTTCCTCCAAATTCGTCATCCAATCTCCAAATTCAAACTTTTCCTGAAGAATTTGTTGCTATTGATGATAATTTGGGATCAAGTTTGGGGATCTTATAATCTATAGATTGAATTGATATGGATTTGGTAGAGGAGTGTTCAAAATCTAATCTTGAGGAGTGGGAAGAGGAGAAGAATATTGAAGCAGTAAAGAAAATGGAACCTTTCGATGTTGACAGAGAGAAAATTAATGGGGAAATGGGATTTGAAGAGGATTCTGAGCCTAATATCCCAGTTCAAACGGTTAAAGAATCCATTGAACCAATTCGCACACACGCAGGCACGGAGGGGACCATGCAAGCAAAAAGATATGCCATTTTCGTCTTGTTAATTTGTACTATGCAACTAACCATCTCTAGAAGCTGAAGTTTGTTCCTTTTGCTATGGGTAATGCATCTGATGGGAACAATTGCCTTATAATTTTTCATATATTTTTTTCATACTCCTGTTATTCATCGTAGGCTCCTTTATATGTGCACACAAGAGTGCACGAGAAGAAGAACTGAACAATAAATGACATCCTCATCTTAGATGAAAGTAGCCGATAGTAGTCAAGAATAGTTGATTAAAAAAATAAATCAGAAATAAAAATTTAAGCACTGTCGAAATGTAAGGTCATATTCATAGTATACCTAAAAATATCTGAATGCTTTATACAAAAGTAAGCAAGAACGTCTTCTGATGGCCAAGGACCTGCATGCAAGGAGTAAAAAGAAAAGTTCGAATAAGTTAATTACAATCCTGGATGTGAGATTCACATTAACTACGTTTGTTATTAAATTCAGTTATAGGTCAGGTATGCCTTATTTCGCCTTTAACTGTGCCTAAGAGTTGAATGTACTTCTGCACATAGAAAATTGATCATCTTTTTCCTTAATTTATCATCTTTTCCTTCAAGACATTCTCCATTTTAGGAGAACTTTGGAGGATTGGCAATTTGTTACACGAACTTAGGCGATAGTGTAAACTTCATGCATGATGCACCATTTAGATAATAAATTAATTATTGGAAAAATACCAAAGGATATTAGGAGGCATGATGCACCTAAAACCAAATTATGAATCAATACAACTCATGTAATAGTAAAATACCAAAGGATATTAGGAGGCATTAAAAATGATCAGTTGTTGCGTGATTCTAAAATTCGCATGAAACTTCTTCAAACAATTTTGAAGAATTAAATTCTTCAAAAGAAACTGGTGTGCTTTTGTTTTCAGTGAGATTTGTAATGTAATCAAGAAGCAATTTTGCAAGCAGATACTAATTGGAGCAAGGCCTAACTGAAGCCTCTCGAGACAATTTAAGAAATAACAGTAAAACATTACTTCTTTCTCTCATAACTGATATTGAAAATGGGATAAAGAAGTTTAAAACAATTCAGATTTATCGTAGTTGACAGTAAGAAAGCTTAAAATCCCATTACGCATTATTTAAGGATTGGAAACAGAGGATGCTGCTAATTTCTCTCAATCGTCGTTTCGCTAAATCCTCGATAGATCTCAGCCTCGGAAAAAGCCCTAAAAGAGCGATACCTCTCAATCGTCGTTTCGCTAAATCCTCGATAGATCTCAGCCTCGGAAAAAGCCCTAAAAGAGCGATACTGATAGCGCCCTTCACAAACCCTAACCATAAAATTTTCAATATTCGCCATGGAAATCGAAGATCAAGAGCCTCTCCAGACTCCATCATTAAAGAAGCACCGATCGCCGTCGCCGGAGGCGGCGGAGGGCGATGCGAAGCGGCGAAAACACCATAATCACTGCCATCACCATCACCGCCATCACCGCCATCGACACATCATGAAGGACAAGGAGAAGATTGTTGAGGATGGAAAGGTCGAGGGAGGAGTTCTCGATTCGAATCGAATGGTTGAGGATGGGGAATTGGTGGGCAACTGCAAAACGTGGCCACTTAAAAACAGTTGTAGGGAAGTGGTGGAGAATTCGAGATAAATACGTGGATATTCAAAAATTTTACTGTTCATCTAAAGGTTTTCCTTTAGTTATAAAGGAAAGTAGATGAGAATAATAGTGAAAGACTTTTTGTAAGATTAAAGGCTATTATGTTTGTAATGTGTCAAAATTAATTATTGGCAACATCACATACATCTTGAATTTCATTACAAACATATTGTTTCTTCACTAAACAGTTATTTATCAATAATATTCACATTGTGAGGACTCTGACATATGAAATTCGCCACGAATAATACTTGGAGTAGCAAGTGATCAATCTTGTAAATGCTATAATATGATTCCAATTTACAGATCTATATTGGAACATGTTGACCACGATGTCCAATAAATTTTACTATTAGAAAGAAGTTTCACAACCTAAACTCTCTTAAATATGATTTGTCTCAGCTATAAGTCAGGTCCTTACATTTATCTCACTATTTTCCTTATCCCTCATATTCTTTTTTTTTTTGATTTTTTTGGTTAGCTGTATAAGCTGGTCTTTATGGATGTATGATCAGTCCCTTAGATGTATTTAGCCAGAAATTTAGCACCAACTTAGAGTGGTTGAAGTCAATGACAATTTGTAATTTTCATGGAGCCCTATTCAACATCACATTAGTTCATTTGGTAAAGGAATGAAAAGAGAAGCATTATAGAATTTTCCAAGTCACAAGTTCACTGGGAAGATAAGGCACATGTTACATGCAAAAACAAAATGTAAAAACCGCAAGCAATTGATCACCAAAGTTGTGCACTGTTAGACAATCTTGGAACAACCACTTTATTGCTATGTTCCTTATCTTCATTGTAAAATCAATTCCTGGCAATGTGAGTGCATAGCTGAATCGATGCAGCCTTTAGATTTGGCACCTCTCCCCGTAGAAGAACCCCTGACAGCAAGTAAACATAAACAAAAGGATAGTTTAAAAAAACAATGTAGTATCTATACTCATACAAATGAAGGGTATAAAATGGAGAAGATATAAGTGAGTATTTGCACATGGAAACTTTCTTATCATTCAAAGGACTCCCCTCTATAACTTCTTCTACGTGATCTAAAATGTGTTTTTCAAAATAGAAGTAACAGTTGACTTCTAAGAATCAAGCATCTGAGCTGATGGTTGTAAACTAACCATTCTGTATAGGCAGGATCCACAGTGAAACCATATATGTTCACAATGTCACACATGGAAATTGCTAGCTCTATGGACTTCATTCCAGTTCCTTTAGCCCCCCTCTGTAACACTATGCCTTGGAATAAATATTAAATACACATGATTTGGATGCTCCTGTATGACCAGTTATTTTACAAGATTAAACGTAACCCAACTCTTGACATGTATGACTAAATGACATATAAACATCTTCCAATAATAATATGCAAAGGAGAAAAGTTATGAGAAAATTCACAAATGCAATTAAATTATTAGATCTTTACCTTTATCATTGCATTAAAATCTCTATGGGTCACACTTTTAATTATGAGCACCTCATCATCTGCAATGAATGAATTGTTTAATTCAGTATTGTAAAAACTGCTATGCATTTGTCATAAACTTACCAATTCTTCATCCTTATCAGGATAAGTTTATAGGTCGATGGTAGAAAAATTTGCCGCAGCTTAAGTGGAAAACAATAAATATATATCCACAAGAATCTGAACTTACCAGATCCATTAAGAATAGCAGGCAATTTACGAGCATCACCTCTTACCACAAGACGAAAGTCCCTTTTCAGGCCCACATATTTAGCATATTTCTGTAAAAATCACAACACTTGGTAAATACTTGACCAAAAAATGATTCTCATAACTGCAGGATAGTAATGATTTCAAGACTTATTTCAAGATAGTAGTCACAAGTTCACTGGGAAGATAATGAACATGTTATATGCAAAAAAGAAAACGTAAAAACCGCAAGCAATTGATCACCAAAGTTGCCCACTGTTAGACAATCCACTTTATTGCTATGTTCCTTATCTTCATTGTAAAACCAATCCCTAGCAATGTGAGTGTAGGCGTATAAAACTGCCTATAGGTCCCTTAGAACAGCTCGGCATGGTGATTCGACAAACCAACGAACCATCAGGCGACGTATCCAAGCATGGTCGTTAAACCACAACATCGAAGCTAAGTAAGATGCGACGAAGCGGATTAACGAAGCGACGAGGTTAACGAATCGCACGCAAGCAACGGAATGCATCCATTCGCGTGCGGAATCAAGCCAACGGTTCAGGGAGTCAACGAGTCATCCAACCATAGAACGGATTCAAACACCAAGGCGGGTTTACTGCCATATCGGGATCCGGACTGCCAAATCAGAGTTCAGAACAGCGACGGACGGCGAAGCTCTGCTGGATTGAAGGCTCAAAACTAAAAAAGATTGAAGCTTTGGAACTTTGAAGACTTGCTCTTTCGGATCCGGTGCTCGGCGATCGTCCACGTCAGAAAAGGCAGGAGTTTGAGAGGGATCGGATCTGAGATCCATACGGTATTACTCCGAATCAAAGCTTGGCCTTTGATCCCGAGAGGGCGATTATTTCCTTGGTGAATTAATCCCCCCGGCTATTATTTCCTTTGCGAGATAATACCCGTTATACCGCTTAGATCTAACCGGATCTAGATCACGCGGTGGTCCACGGATAAACCCCGATGCAGGCGAAGAACCCACAGAAGCGAGTGACCGCAAAACAGGAGATCGTGCTTTGTTCGACAAATAAGGAAAGAGTTGTAATTTTCTTTTTTCTTTTGATCTCGTTGTAACCGGATCTTATAAAAAGACCGGATCTTTGTAACCGATTAACTGTTATCAAAGAGTGTGCAATGGAATCAATGAAGAACATAATTTTTCCCGCGAACAATCTGGCGACCACAGTGGGAGCCAACGATCTCGCTGTCGAGATCGTCGCGTCGCAGCCGCGGATCTCAATCCTGGTCGAGGAGGAGGTCGAGTATGAATTCGACTAGGCCAAGTTCGAGGAGTATCTTTCATCCTCGTCCGGATCCACCTCCCCCCCGCAAGTCCAAGAAGCTCTCCTCCAGGAGAAAAGTCCGTTGGTTCGAAGAAGTTCAGAACGCCAACGAAGCTCTCACCCCAGCTGACGCCAAAGTTGCGTCGGGTGAAGTTCCGCCGACCTCCAACCAGGTCAACCCTGTTCTCGCCGACGTCTCCACCGTTGAGGGCGTTGTGACTCTCTCGAAAAGAGCCCGCCAAAGGTGACGTTAACGCTTGGCGCGGCAACTCGCAAAGGCGATGGAGTCCACCGACGGAGTCCGCTATCACGCGGATCTGAAGAACAGGAGAGGCAAACAGCCTCAACCACTGATGAATGGTGACTCCTCCAAGCTGCCAACGAACGAATGGATCTGTGTCAAACAAAGGCGATGGAGTCCACCGACGGAGTCCGCTATCACGCGGATCTGAAGAACAGGAGAGGCAAACAGCCTCAACCACCGATAAATGACAGCTCTTCTAAGCCGCCAACGAACGAATAGGTCCGTGTCAAACGGAATCGTTCGACACTCGAAGAGCGCATTCACAAGCGCCGTGCACTGTCAGCGCAAGCACGGGCTCAAGTCCAGGAAGCCCGCAGGAGATTGCAGAAAGAGGTGGCGAAGAAGCCGCCACCAACCCGCAAAGTTTGGAGGCCAAAGTCTGAAGTGGCGATTCAGGCTAAGGAGCAACCTTTGCAGCCTCCAACCAAAGTTCAACCTCCGGCGAACCAAGCTAAGTCGCCGAGAATTCCCACAGCTACTCCGGGAGATCATGTAGAATCCTCCCGAAGAAAGAAGCCAATTTTGGAGCGCCTTGGTCCAATCGACGAGAGAGGCAAATCTCCAGTCCAAGAACGTTTGGGCCCGATGAAGAAGCCCAGAACGACTCAACACGCTGGGGGTCGCCGCCACCTTCAACATGACAAGGAGTTCACGGTAGCTGCGCGTGCTAATTTGTGCATTGAAGTCCAGGAGCCCGCTGAGAACTCAATCCCAAAAAGGCATGTCTCGAGGCGTGTGACTTTTGAAAGCCTGAAGAAGGCAGTCCGCCCTCAGAAGGAAACATTATCGTCTGATGACGATAACGTTATACCTGAGAAGTCGTGCCCACACACGATAGGTTACTCCGATTGTCAAGCTGACGAGTTATACTATCGTGATGGAAGTACGAGAAAAACCAGGAAGAGGAGACCTCGAGGACTAGAGACCCAATGTCCCTGTTCCAAACTCATTCGGGCAGTATTGTCGGAGTGCAACTGCACCAATACAGTTCCTGAAAGAGTTTCGGTTTTCGAAAGACTTAGTACCGAAACGCCAAATCCAAGACCTAGGCGTTTCCGACGAAGAAGAAGAGTAGTCGAAGATGGAGAATTTCCGAGGGTCACCACCAATATAACCAGCAAGGGGACATCGGCACGGGATAATCTCGAGTCGATTATGAAAGCATCCCGGCCTATAACCCGTCTGCAGTCCGGAACCATCAAGCGAGCAACTTATGGTAGGGTTCGGACAAGACTACCTTCAGAAGATGAAGAGTCTGATGCCGGCTCCGCGGTTGCATCAGATAATACGGTATCCAGTGAGGGACAACCCCACGAGACACTTATGATAAGTGCGGAACAAGTGGTCAAGATGCTTGAAGATGCCATGGCTAAACAACAGGAGACCTTCAGGTTCGAAATGCAGATGGCCATGCAGAACATGAGAGAAATGCATGACCAACAAATCCAAGCATTAACGAACCAGCAAGGAGAGCCAAGTCGTCGTAACCCGGTTAATCTGGAAGATGAGGATACAAATGCGAATGAGACTCATAATACCAATAATCCTCCTGTCAATGCAGGGGGTGGTAACGAGAATGCTAGCGAAAACACAGGTGAAAACTTGAAGATTAAAAATCTCGAGAGCAAAATCAATACATTGATTTCCGCTCAAGAGATGAAGAAGACGGGCATTCATTATCCCTACCCAAGAGAATGGGAATCGATCCCATATCCGGCGAAGTTCAATCTAATTAACTTCACGCCGTTTAATGGGATGGGTTCACCCACTCAACATTTGATTTACTTCAAATCACACCTGAGGGTTATCTCTGGTAATGAGCCTCTGATGGTACGGTCCTTCGTTGGCACTCTTCGTGGAGCCGCCTTCGATTGGTATCGTCGCCTCAAGCCAGGAAGCGTGAATAGCTGGGACGACATGGAGACTAAATTCCTCGCTAACTTCTTCGACGACGACACCGAGATATCCATCGGAACGTTGCTCGACGAGAAACAAAAGGACGGGGAATTGGTTGACACCTTCGTCAAGAGGTTCCGGAACAAGGCGATGAACTGTCGAGACCCGATCACCGAGGAATTCATCCTCCAGACTTGCCACAACAACCTTGCACTGGACGTGTTGGAAGCAATGGGGACAGCACCGTCCAAAACCTGGAAGGATTTGAAGGTCCGAGGAGAGCAAGCCGAGCGGTTCCTCAGAAGGAAGAAGGCGGAAAGAGGCCAACAGGCGAATAATGCTCCGCAACAGAATTTTGTCCTACGAGGGAAAGGTAAGGCACATGCTAATGCAGTTGATGCTAATCAAACTTTCCAATTGCAACCCCAGCAACAGCTGCAACAACAAGCGCCACAACAATCTCGGGATCAATGGCAACAACAGCCTCAGAAGCAGAAATCTTCGGAGCCGAGGTTTCCTAAAGTGTATTCCTTCAAAGATGATGAAGTTCCTGGCATCTTTAAGTACCTGTTGGAGAATAACAAAATCCAGCTACTAGCGATTGTGGATCAAGAAGGGGCTAGCAAAGTGACGGATCCGAAGTATTGCGCATACCATAGAGCGGTCCATCACCCTACCAAGTCGTGTTACCACCTCAAGGACAAGATTCAGGCGCTAATT